TTGTTTATAGCTACTGATAAACTATTCCTTTGGTTAACCGCCTTTTAGGTTGAAAAGGAGGCAGGGCTGGTTCAAAGTATTTTACCACCCTGAGCAAGTTATACCTATCCACTCTGGGCCTGTGCTGTCAAGCTTCTGGGACAACCCCTCAGAAGAATGGCTAGGGTTGCCATTTGCCTGCTGACAGAGGGAAACCCCTATTGGTGCTCCCTCATACTCTGCTGGCACTCAGTGGGGCAGCATGGGTGAAATGGGGTGGGAAATGACATCCCTCAGTGCCACTTCTGGCTTTGGAACCAGAAGTGTTGTCACTGTGTTGTGGGACAGTCACAGATTCATCTGGAACTCTATGGTTTTTATCACAGAATTTCAGATGAATCCTAGAGCATCCCACAACACAGCTATGTCACTACCTGTTATACAGCCAGAAGTGATGTTGCACAGCTGTGGGATATCATTAGGGTAATTTCCACCCCATCAGTCTCCCAGGGATTGCCAAGAGCTGGGAACCCTAAGAATGGCTTCGATCCAGCTACCAGTGGTGCAGGCCCAGAAAGGGATGTCATTTACCTTTCTACTGATGGTTAGGAGCAAGCAGAGGCCCTGCAGCACATTGGTACCCTTGGCTTGGCTGGAGAACCAGCCCTGAAAGGAGGAAACAAATAGTGTGTGTGTGTGTGGGGGGGTTTAACTCAGGTGCCACAGAGCGTCTGTAAACAGGAGTGGCCTGTGACTGACACAAGAAAGTCAAATATTTTTGGAGCTTCCAGTTAGTTCACACGGAAGCTGTAGTTTTAGGTAACCAGCCGTGAGACAATAACCTCTGAAACAAATTTCCCTGCTCAATTCCTGGCCACGAGACCCTACCATGAGTCCAAATCCTGACAGATATGGACCAAGACCAGAAATACCATAGTTATCAAATCTAGTTTGTATTGGTGCTTCAATAGGCTGTATCCAAAGGCTGTATCCAAAGGATATCAAAAGAATCCAAATCCAGGTCAATGGGCCAGAGTAAAGGATTCAGAATGTACACCTGTAATACACCTTCATAATCTCTACACTCTTATGAGTCAAATAATTACCTGATATTAATTAAGGGCAGGAGATGGCTACTGTTAGGGACAGTGCTCTGGAAGGGACGTGATGACTGCAGGTTGAGGGCTGGAAGACAGAGGGAAATTACAAGCAGATTTAGAAGACAAAGGGAGCCGTGGGCTTGCTTGCTTGCTTGCTATGGTTACAGAGGAAGCCTGGGCAACCGGTACCAACCTCACCCGCTACAAGAGAAAACTGCAGCAGAGAGAATGGGGAGGGGGGAGAAGGTGGTGCTAGGCTGACACCATGTGGAAGCAATTGTTACTACGGGGGCAGCATGACTTATGAAGCAGTCAGACCGTCAGTTCAGTATTGTCTCTTCTGATGGCAATGGTCCCAGAAAGAGGATTTTCACATCACCTATTTCCTGATCCTTTTAACTGGCGATGCTCAGGACTGAACCTGGGACCTTCTGCATGCCAAGAATATGCTCTACTGCTGAGCCACACCCCCTCCCCACACCCCTAGTCTGTGATATGACTGCTGGAAAGAAGACTGGCCACAGGGTGTGCCTTGAGGAAAGAAGACTGGCCACAGGGTGTGCCTTGAGGGGTAGGATGGAAAACTAGTGTTAAATATTTGCATCAAGTGGCACCTTTGAGACCAACAAAGTTTTATTCAAAGTGCAAGCTTTGAATAAAACTTTGTTGGTCTCAAAGGTGCCACTTGACTCAAACTTTTTTTCTGCTGCTTCTGGCCAACATGGTTACCCACCTGAAACTGTTAAATATTGATGGCCATCAAAACCCTGTTCCCTGTTCAGTTTAGAACATTTAGACTCATGCTTTAAAGACAGTCACTGTTTGTTCAAGATTTCCTGAAACCTGCTGTCTGTGTTGAAAATCAATGCAGTACAGTGGTTTGTGGCCCAAGCTCAGTTCACTAGGTGACCTTGGGATAGTCATTCTCCCCCAGCCTAAGCTGCCTCAAAAAGGTTATTGTGAGGATAAAATGGAAGGGATGAAAGATGGGGAAATAAAATAAAATAACTCCTTGGAAGACGGGGAAATAAAATTGCAGATGTATGCAGTGTTTATATTACTATGCTCTTTGCTCTAAATAGTTGATCTCCCAATAAAGCGACAATGTTCCTAATGAATCGGAGCAAAACTGGATCCGTTTTTCTCCCTGACACCCAACATGACCTTCCTTCTCTGACCCAGTTCCATAAGAGTATGTCCTAAAGGGCCTACTTCACACAGGGAGAAAGGAAAACCTTGTAGTTTCCTCTGCCCTATCATCCTCCATACGTCCAGAACTGTGCGTTCTGAAATATGAATAGATGTTTTACTAATAGCAGGAGAGAGAAACGGGTACATATTGGAGCAGAAAGATGTCAGTGTGTGTTTAGGAAAGTAATGGCAAAATGGCTGCCCATGTAAAAGTTTGTGTACATATAGGAGGGGGAGAGGGAGGGAGGGAAAGAAGAAATGGTAGGATGAAGAAGAAGAAGAAGACGGATGGATGGACGGACAGACAGACAGATGAATGAACAGGACGTTTGAAAGGTAACATTTACGAAACTTAATGGGGGGGGGGGAAACAGTGAAAATTCTAGACATAAACTATGCCAACAAGGTGTAATAATCAGAGTGCTGGTTGGATTTGGGAAGCCCAGGTCTGAACCCCCACTCTGCCATGGAAATTTTCTGGGCACCCTGGGGCCAGTCCCACACTTTTAGCTTAAATTACCCCAGGTGGTTGTTGTGAGGATAAAATGGAGGACAGGAGAACAATGTAAGCTGCTTTGGGTCCCTGCTGGGATGAAAAAGGTGGAATATAAATGAAGTAAGCAAAAATACCTTTGGCGTCTTGGGCTCCCAGGCAAAAATGTCTCCCCCTCTTCCACACAATGGGGCTCCTGGATCCAGTGGCTCCTCCACAACTGATCTCCTCCTTCCACCCTTCAGATTCCTCATTCTCAGTGTCCACTGCTCTCCCTTCTGTTGTCCCCAATGTGGCTTGCTCCCTCCCCTTCAAGTCTCTTGCTAGATCTCCTTAGATCACTAGTCTGCTTCAACCCTCTTCAGGACACCTTTCTGAGATCTCCTTTCCTGTGAGCATTAAGACCACCTCCTGCCTTTGGTGAGTTCCTGCAGAGAAGCAGAAGTGCATGCAACAAGGTGGTGCTATTGTGAAAGGAAAAGCCTTCCCACCCATGGTGCTTTCTGCCAAGGGTCACTCTGGCTCTGGTGATGGAGAAGCTGGAAAGAGGCCCAGTCAGGTTTCTCTTCTGGCCCAGGTCACCGACAGTGCTTTGGAGCCCCACCAAGTTGCTTGGACTTTCAGTCTGTGGACTCCTCCATTTCCCCAGCAACAAACAGAGAAGTGAGGAAAGACAAATCCTTCTGCATGCACAGAGCCTTGGATTTATGGCTCCCCTGTCCTCTTTCTCCCTGTTCAGCTGGCTAAACCATTGGAGTGGGCAGACCTTTTTACTGGAAACTAAATGGAAACTGGCCTTACCTAACACATGCCATGGAGCGAGGTGGCAGAAAACTGAGACAGAAGGGTTGCCAGCTCTGGGTTGGGAAATTCCTGGAGGTTTGGGGATAGAGCCTGGGGAGGGCTCAATTTGGGAAGGAGAGGAAGTTCAACAGGGATGTGATGCGACACAGCTTGCATTTCCTCCAGGGAAATTAATCCGTCATCTAGAGATCAGTTGTAATTCCAAGAGGGCTCCAAGCCCAAGGTGTTGGGATGGCTGGTAACACTTCAGACTGTAGTTGAGGAGAGGGGGGGGGCATGTTTTTAATATGATTAGCGCTGTTCCCTTGTTCCCTCACTCAGACACAGGATTTCCCCTCCTTTTTTTCTTCCTTCTGGCTGAGCAGCCCCTTTATCTATTTTCTTCTTTTGAGAAGATCTATGGCTGTCCCACCATGTCACTTAATTATGTTTTGATGCTGGATCAGCACAGGAACAGTGAAAGGTTTTCTACCTTAGGTCTTTTGCGTCATTTGCTCATGGAATGGTTCATTTTGAAGCAAGATTCCTTGCTTGGGGGGGGGGGGTCCATGTATAGAAGCTAAGGGATGCCTTTGGTGCCTTTTTACACCATGGATCTGCCAGTGTTCTGCTACTGTCGGCCAATAACAGAATCGAATGCTTTCACTGCACTTAAATACACACGCACAACAAAATTTCATAATGCCCCATCATCACAAAAAGTGCACAAACTGAACCCCAGGATTGGGGGCGGCTGCTGGAATAACAGAAGGCAAAACCGTGTGTGAAGGGGGGCGAGTGGTGTGTTGGAACAAGGGATGGATGAATGACGTAAGGAAGACCCTAACCTACTGTTGCCATGGGATCAGGGCCAATCTCTACCTATCTCACAGGGCTATTGTGAGGGTAAAATGGAAGGGGGGACACCGATGTCGGTTGCTCTGAGCTCCTCTCTCGGGGATGGGGGGATAAAAATATACTAAATAAATGAATGAGTCCTTTCAAGTTCCCAGCCTATGATGTGGCTGAGGTTGGAGGAGAGAGACCTGAGGATCTGAACTTGAGGTCTACTGACTGCAGGCTAACGTGGGGACCTATTTTGATGGACCCAAAATAAAATAATAAAAAAAATTCCGCTACTAACCTCCCCCTTCCCGGACACGCTGATTGTTTAAATCGTGGCGTGACTGACCACGAAAGGGGCGGATTCTCTCCTCCAAGACGTGAAAAAGGGGGATGTCGGAGTGCTCTCCAGTTGGCGGCTTGTAAAGGGATCGGGAGTCCGCCCTGCCTTGCCTAGTAAGGCGCTGGAAAGGAAAAGTTTGGGAAGAACCAAACTTCGTGTCAACGTGGCGCCCCTCGGCCAGTCCGAGACTTCTTCGGCCACGCCCCTCGCTCGGCGGCGCTCTTCGATTGGCCTCCTCAGGGAGGAGGGGCGTGGCTCGGAGAGACACCAGGAGGGGCTGGGGATGAGCCGGGGCTGCATTTGGAGTGGGGGCGCCACGCGGTTGCGATTCTTGCTGGAGGTAAAGAACATAGCCCGGGCTAGGGACTGAATCGGGGATCGGTGTTGGTGAAGGACGCATATTGGATAGGGAAGATGATCTATAGTGATTTTCCGGGGGGGCGGGACAGGCTGCACGAGGAAGGGGTGGCCCGGTTGCAATAGAGATTTGGTGGGAGGGTGCCCCAGGTGCATATTGGAGGAGGGTGTTGGGGGGGGGGTTACAGTTTCCGATGACTGTGCGGAGGAAGGAGAAGAGGGTACCCAACTTCATGTAGAAAGAGTCAGAGCGGGAGACTTCGCCCACTCCACGCTCCCTTGGCGTTTATCAATGATTCTTTTGCGGGTACAAAATCAGGGCTGCGGGAACCGGGTACGGCCGGGCTTGGAGAGGGCCGAGCTGCTGTACAGAGGCGGTCGGTGGTGTGGTTTGCTACTTGGAAAGGGCGCATCTTACGCTTCGGGAAAGAGCGGTACGGAGAAGCGGCGGGTGGGTTGCTGGGGCTCCTTCCAAAACCACAAATAGGGCAGAGAAAGGATTGCAGCGGTAAGCGCAGATCTTTGCTCCGGAACGGAATTCTAGGTCTCCATCGCGGCTTAGTTGCTAAAGAAGAGTGCCAGTCCCGCTGTTACTTTCCTTTGTTTTAGGCTTAGTTATGCTTTCCTACCATCTCTATCGCTTTGTCTTTGGTGTGACCAATCTTAGGGTGCCTTCCAGTTTGAGGACACTTTTGCAAAGCGTCTGGGATGCTGGAGGAGGAACCCTCCTCTCCCGATTTCCTTTCTGGGGCTTTGGCGCCTAAAGATGACGCTTTCATTTGTGGGGGACTTGCCCTCCATTTGGGGGGAGGGGGCTGTCTTTGTTTTTGCCATTCCACTGCAGCGAAACAATCTAGGTGTATGTTTACATTTGTGCAGGTTTGGTTTTCAGCCCACTTTGCTGGTGATCCAAAGGATTTGGCGCTCTCTGGGTTCTCTCTGTACCACAAGCCCAGGAAATAATGGGATGTTCTCGGCCTGTCACTTTCATCGCCTTTGGCTTTGTTCAGAACTGAGTGGGACAGCTTTAATTGAGGTGCCTCCAGCCTCCAGGAATTGAACGTTCTGTATTTTGAGCAGCACAATTGGGAACTGGCCTACTTCTCTGCTGCTGGGGTTACCAACATTCTTTGCCTTTAGAACTGTAGGTGCAGCCCTGATTTCAAAAACTTGTTTTTCTCCTACTCTGGGCTGTCCCCCTACCCCACTGTGGCCCTGATTCCCTAAAGCTCCTTAGAGATCAAGACTTAGGCCTGGTTGGTGTAGATTAGAATTGTGAGCAGGTGGGATTCCTTGGTTTTATACAGAAGGTCAATCAGAACTCCAGTTCTCTGAAAGTGTGGTTGGGGAAGGTGGGAGAGGATCAAAGTAAATGAAACAATGTGGCAGAAAAGGTGATTGGGGACAACTCTGCCTGCATTTGGTGGGAGCCTGTCTTTATTTTGGTCATTTCACTGTAGTGAAGCAGTCTGCAAGTGTATTTGCTTTTGTGCCACAGCAGGAGAAAGTCCAGTTTAGTATGGGGGAAGAAGGTCTTGTGGAGTGAAACGGGTAGTGTGTTTTGCAGACACCTTATGGGGAAGAGATGTGGCCTAATGGTAGTGCTTGGCATAGAACAGAGCCTGTGTACAATCCCTGGAATCTCTTAAAATCTCACTTTACAGATGCTGGCTGGTTTCTCTTCTTGAGACCTTGGAGAGCACCGTGACACTAGTGAGCTAGATGTATTAATGGCTTGGCTCTGCATAAGGCAGCTTGCATTTTTAAAAAGATGTGAGAGAAGGAGCCATTGGGACTGCTGGTTTCCTGAGCAGTAGGAAAGAGGAATAGATTTTGAGTTAAAGGTCAGGGTCAGAGAGTGGGCTCCAACCAGTTTTTTCATTCAGTCTTATCCAGTTCTTCTCCGTACTGCATCCCCCATCCCTCATGGCTCTTGTCCATGCAGGTCCCGTGATCCCCAGCAGGAGAGCCAGTTTGCTGCAGTGGTTAAGAGCGGTAGGACTGTAATCTGGAGAACTGGGTTCGATTCCCCACTCCTCCACTTGAAGCCAGCTGGGTGACAGTTCTGTCTGCCCCAACAGTAAACCTAGCTCACCACAAAAAGAGCTAGAGCTTCAGGCTGCCAGACAATCTTTGGATCTCCTGGCTATGCTACACCCACTGCCATACAGTAATCAATCAATTTTGATTCCCCCAGCAAAGCCTTTTTCAGGGTAATCAAAAGGGATCCCTTTTCACTAGCAGAAAAGCTGGATGGATCCACCCCTGGAATCTGGAAACCTGGGGGGATTGTGGAGTGTCTTGCAGTGATAGTGGGAGAAAAAGATAAATGTGAACAGGGAGGGTGGTTTGAATTCTCTGGTCAATCCGCTTTGATTTTAAGCCTCTAATTTGGAAGGCGGTGTCCAGCTGAGAGGCCCGGCTCCTGGCATTGTGTGTAGGAGTGTCTGTTTCCTTGCTAATGTGCTTCTCCCCCCTCCCCAAGGTTGTGTGAGCTATGGCTTGGCAAAAGATGCTCTATTCCTGCTGCCTCTTGACCGTGTGCCTCACTTACGTCCTGGCCAAGCCGCCCCCTGACAAGAAGGACCGTGTCCACCATGGCCAGGACCTCAGTGACCACCTCCATGATGACCAACAGGATTTCCAGTACGATCACGAAGCCTTCTTGGGGAAAGAGGAGGCCAAGACGTTTGATCAGCTGACTCCTGAAGAGAGCAAAGAGCGACTGGGGTAAGAGGAGAGCTGAGCTCATTCTGCCATAACGTTGCACAGGCTTGGAACTGAGTCGTTGGCTGCAGAATTGTGTGCTCTACATACTGAGGAAATGCAAGTTTCTAGTCCCTAATGTAGGTGTCATGTGCTGACATGGAAAGCTTGAGTTGGATTTCTGACAGGACTGGAAAACCCGGGTTCAAATCCCCTCTTGGCCCTATGAAGCTCTCTGAGTCGTCCTGGGCAAATCGTTTTCTCAGCCTAACCTACCTCCCAGAGTTGTTGTGATGGTAAAAAGGGGGTTCCTTCCATCTCTGCCACCCTGGAGACAATTTCTCTTATGTTGCTGAGGATAAGATAGGCATCCCGTATCCATACCTTGAGTCTGCAGATCATCCTGCAGCCCTTTGCCAAATTTCTCTTCATTTATTTTCAACAATGTTCTACCCCGCAGGAAAATCGTAGACCGGATTGACCGGGATGGGGATGGCTTTGTGACTCAGCCCGAGTTGAAGGATTGGATCAAGCACACACAGAACCGCTACATCTATGAGAATGTGGACAAGAACTGGAAAGATTATGACAAAAATAATGATGGACACATCGCCTGGGAGGAGTTCAAGAATGCCACTTATGGTTACTATGAAGGTAGGAACAGAGGAAGGGAAGCTGTGTGTGATGGAGGAGGGATATGATGTCCGGGGAAACCACTTGGAGCTCTAGACCAGAAGACAACCAAAGGGGGGGGGTTCTGAAGGGGGGAAATGGATCTATTTTACAAGGTCTAGTAAAGGGCTGTGTAGTGGTTAGAGGATCAGGTCAGGACTTGGGAAACACAGGATCAAATCCATGCATGCCATGAAAGTTGCAGGATAATAATTATTATTATCATATGGCAGTGTGTGTAGAATAGCCAGGAGATCCTAAGATTGTCTGGCAGCCAGAAGTTCTAGCTCCTTTAGCGTTATGCACCACTAGGTGGCGAGCTAGACTTGTTTTTAAGGCAGTTTGCCATTGCCTGCCCCTGTATCACACCCCTGTTATTCCTTGGAGGTCACCCTTCCAAATTCTAGCCAAGGCCAATCTCGCTTAGCTTCTGAGCTCTGACGGGATTGGGCTAGCCCAGACTATCCAGGTCAGGACAGTTGCAGGGTGACTGCACGGTTATCTGGAGCCTCCAAACTCACACAGTCATTTCAGTGATGTTTATAACCATAAGTCCCGCAGCAAGTCTGGCTGATGGACACAGAAACGGGCGTCCGAGTTCCCTTCCCATCACTCATTGCTAGTAGGAGCATTGTTGTAGCTGGCTGGGGTTGAAAGTGCCCGGCTGGCATGCTGCCTTACCTGGAAAGGGAGAGAGGCCCTGGTGTTTGTGTTTCTGGCATTTTTGCCACCTCTGGGAGCCAGCTTGGAAGGGGTTGGCTGGGTCTGAGAAGCCAGTTTCAGCTGCTGGGACAGAATAGGGGATATATGGGGCAGTCATGAGTTGCCAGAAGCCTGTGAACCAGCAGTCACTGGACAGATGCCATTGTTCTGTCCTTGCAAAAGCAGAAAACAAAATGGTTTTCTTTTCCAAAGTGGTTGAATGGCAGAGACACATAGTGACCTGTACACACAAACTCTGCAGGATCTTTCTTAGTCCCCTTTAACCCAGTATCCGGCTTCCGTCTGTGGCCAGCCAGATGCCCTCAGGAGGCTCATAAGCAGGGCATAAAAGCAGGAACTGTCCCCTGCAGTTTGTTCACAGCCGTTCTGAGACTCCAAGTGAAGGGCAGGGTATAAATCCAATGTCTTCTTAAAACCATCTAGGAGTCACTGCCACACTTTGTGGCAGTGAATTCTGTAATTTGCATTCTGCAAAAAAAGTTCTTGTCCTGAATCTCCTGCCCATCAATTTCATTGGGAGATGGTAAGTTCTAGCATTTCTGTGAGTGGGGGGGAAAATCCTGTTTCTCTGTATGCTCATCATGCCATTCATGGTTTCCCTTGGTTGTATTTTTTTCCTCAACAAACAGCCCTCTGAAATGCTGCAATTATTTTGGTGAGGTGGTGCAGCCAGACTTATACATTTGGTGTGTGACTGCATTATACATTTACATAAAGGTATTTTGCTGTTGCCCAACTTATTTCCAACCCTTTTTGCATCAATGTCTAACATGGAATAAGTCTTCTTTTTTTAACTGCCGCAATATGCTGGAGTTAAAATCTGCAAGGCTGAACTACGCAATACGCTTTTCCCAGGTAAGTTTCCAGGGTGGGTCAGAACTTGATTCTTAGGGGCATGGAGACTCCATTCAGAGCAGCACCCTGGTGCACAGGGCGAAGGAGCTTAAAGCCTTCCACCACATCATGTTGTGTTCTTGATGTGAACCAGCACTAAGGAGCTGCCATCTACCCCATTAGTTTGTAGACCCTCAGTACATCCCAGTTTCCCCAGTGCAGTGAATAGCAGCTCCCTGGCACTGGGAGGGACAGATTAAAGCCCCCCACTCCCTCCATTCTGTGGCTCCAATCCAGATTGGACCCGTGTGCGCCTAGAAATCAAGTTCCAAGCATGGAACAGTAATGTGTTACAGCAGCATACCTGGGAAAAGCATATGATGTAGTCAGGTCTTTCGGGAGCTATCCACCAGCAGCCAGTTCAAAGAGAGGAGTGGATCTATTTTTCTTTGTCCCAGTATGCATCACATTAGACTTGGCTACTTCACTTCTCACCACTGGCTCCTGATTATTTATGAATGAATTAGCTAGCACCTGTTCCGGCAGAGATCCTTGGGGAACCTGCAGTTTACATCCTTCTATTTTTTTTCTAGTTACACAATCACCCACTACAAGGAATCTATTCCAACCCTAGAAGTATATCTTTGGTACAGGAAGTATCAATTCACTGCTTGAGAAATGGTTCCGTTCTAAGGGTTTGTTTCCCTAGTCCGATGCGCTTCCGTCCACGAATGACACAAGAGCAAGGGAGTGTGTTTTTCTTGTAGGAGAATCTGTGACTGTTGATTGTGTGAGGAAGCCCACTGTGGACATCCCTGTTGTCTTTTCCTTTTAGGTGAGGCATTTGGCGATCTTGAAAACAAAGAGACGTACAAGAAGATGCTGGCTCGGGATGAGCGGCGATTCAAGGCAGCCGACAAAGACGGGGACATGATCGCTACAAGGGAAGAGTTCACGGCCTTCCTCCACCCTGAGGAGTTTGACTACATGAAAGACGTGGTGGTGACGGTACGAATGGGAACGCTTGACTCTTGGAAAAGGAGGTTGCGGTAGTACCTTGTTTCATGTGCTGTGTTTGGGGTTATGTACCCGGTACCTTTTGTCATGGTGGAACCCCAGTCCTTTCAAGATAACCGATTCGCCCGCAACCCTTTATGCCCAATCATTTTATTTAATTCATTTATACCACACTTTTGTCCTCCATGAGGATCCAATGTTCTCCATTTTGGTTGAGAGCCAGTTTGGTGTAGTGGTTAAGTGCGCGGACTCTAATCTGGGAGAACCGGGTTTGATTCCCCGCTCCTCCACTTGCACCTGGCTGGATGACCTTGGGCAAGCCGTAGTTCTGATAAGAGCTGTTCTTGAAAAAGAGCAGTTTCTGTCAAGAGCTCTCTCAGCCCCACCTACCTCACAGGGTGTCTGTTGTGGGGAGGGGAAGGGAAAGGAGTTTGTAAGCCGCTCTGAGACACCTTTGGGTAGTGAAGGGCGGTGTATAAATCCAATCCTTCTTCCATTTTGTCCTTGCAATGGCCCTGTGAGGCAGATTAGGCTGAGTGTGTGTGTGACGGGCCCAAGGTCATCCAATGAACTTCCATTCGAGGTGGAATTTGAACCTGAGTCTTCCAAATCCTGCCTGGCCGAAAGGCACATGGGATGGGGTTGGTTTTAGTAGGGGAACTGGGCAGGGCTGAGTGTGAAAAAGCTGGCAGGATCCTCAAAACTTCACTGCTGCCTGTACCTGCGGATCTCTTCTGAGGAGTCTTTCTTAAGCTCCTTCAAGCTAGACAGTGGAAGCAAGTGAGAGGTCACCAAAGGATAGGCCTGTCCTCCTTTATCAAGACTAACTGCAATGTTGCTGGGTCTTTCCTGTTTTCCAGGAAACCATCGAGGACATAGACAAGAACGGGGATGGCCTTGTAGGAGTGGATGAATATCTTGGTAAGAAAAACGTTCATGGGTGCATGCTGTTGGCATCCTGTTTTGGCTCCATCCATACTGGGAAGTGAACTGTTCTTTGTCAAATGCGTGTTAAGTGTCGTCAAGTCACTTCTGACTTACATTGACCCTATGAACTACTGACCTCCAGGATGTCCTATCATTGACAGCCTTGCCCAGGTCTTGCAAACTGAGGGCCCTTGTGGCTTCCTTGACTGAGTCAACCCATCTCAAGTTGGGGTCTTCCTCCTCCTGCTGCCTTCCAACTTTTCCTAGCATCACTGTCATTTTAATATCGGGCTCCACGGGAGTTTCTAGGGCCCTGATTTTGTCATGTAATGCCATGACCAGGAAAAAGGGTTTTAAGACTTTGTGGAGTTGTAGGCTCCTTAATCCTCCCCACCTTGCTTTTCTCTTGTTCATATAAAGGCTCTTCTTTTAAAATTCAGAGTGTTGAGAAGCGAGGTCTGGAATTAACCTAGGGCATCATGGCCGATGAATATCTTGGTAAGAAAAACGTTCATGGGTGCATGCTGTTGGCATCCTGTTTTGACTCCATCCATACTGGGAAGTGAACTGTTCTTCATCAAATGCATGTTAAGTGTCATCAAGTCACTTCTGACTTACGTTGACCCTATGAACCTCCAGAACGTCCTATCATTGACAGCCTTGCCCAGGTCTTGCAAACTGAGGTCCCTTGTGGCTTCCTTGACTGAGTCAACCCATCTCAAGTTGGGGTCTTCCTCCTCCTGCTGCCTTCCAACTTTTCCTAGCATCACTGTCATTTTAATATCGGGCTCCACGGGAGTTTCTAGGGCCCTGATTTTGTAATGTGATGCCACGACCAGGAAAAAGGGTTTTAAGACTCTGTGGAGTTGCAGGCTCCTTAATCCTCCCCATCTTGCTTTTCTCTTGTTCGTTTAAAGGCTCTTTTAAAATTCAGAGTGTTGAGAAGCGAGGTCTGGAATTAACCTAGGGCATCATGGCCTTAGGACAAGGTGGCTGGCAGTGTTTTTATGGGCAACAGCCAAAGGGGGGCTAAGAACTTCCCATACTCCCCGGCAGCCACCTGAGGATGCTCAGAAGATATCTCAGCTGGGGGTGAGCTATCTGCGTCCCTCACCAAGGGGAGACCACCAGACTCCTCAAATTCCCTTTTGAAAACAGCATCCCATTGGGCTTCCTTTCTCTTCCCCAGGTGACATGTATTCTTCGGAATCGGGAGAGCCAGAACCTGACTGGGTGAAGACTGAGCGCCAACAGTTCTTGGATTTCCGGGACCTCAACAAAGACGGCAAAATGGATCGGGAGGAGATAGGGCACTGGATCCTGCCACCGGACTATGACCATGCCGAGGTGGAGTCAAAGCACCTGCTCTTTGAGTCGGACAAGGATAAGGTGAGGATCAGTCTGGATAAGAGAGGGAAAATGCAGGGGAAAAGGTGTTTCTTTTTTCTAGTAGGAGCACAGAATAGGAGAGAGAAGGACATGTGGGCTGTAAGCATTTGCAGTGAGGAATTGGAAAATGGAAGGGCAGGCCAGGCGTTTAAGATATATTCTTAAGTGTTTTTAAACTTCAGTGCTGGTAGGGTAACACTGATTACCAAGATCTGGAAGTGAAACCTGATCTGATGAACTTTATTGAGAACATAAGAGAAGCCATGTTGGATCAGGCCAATGGCCCATCCAGTCCAGAATCTTCTCTTTAACACTTCTGGGTGTTAACCCCTCCCCTTTAATTGCATTCTCTTTAAGACTCTCTTCTGGGCCAGTACTATTTTTTAAAAAGAAAAGCAGCTCATGGAGAGGTGGAGCAACAATAGAATGTAATCTTTCCCTCTGTGCCCTTTCTCCAAATCATGCTCCCCCTTCGTGGCACTCTGTCTGCTGGGTTCTATGTTTGTGTTACGTTTTGAACCCTGTGATAGAGAAGCTTTGGAGGTGATCGAAACACGGAGTGGGGAAAGGGTTGAACACCTTCCTGAAAATGTTTCTCTTCAAAAAACCCAAAACAATAAGCAGGAATTACCAAGACCTGGAAGTGAAACCTGATTTGATGAACTTTATTGAGAACATAAGAAAAGCCATGTTGGATCAGGCCAATGGCCCATCCAGTCCAGAATCTTCTCTTTAACACTTCTGGGTGTTAACCCCTCCCCTTTAATTGCATTCTCTTTAAGACTCTCTTCTGGGCCAGTACTATTTTTTAAAAAGAAAAGCAGCTCATGGAGAGGTGGAGCAACAATAGAATGTAATCTTTCCCTCTGTGCCCTTTCTCCAAATCATGCTCCCCCTTCGTGGCACTCTGTCTGCTGGGTTCTATGTTTGTGTTACGTTTTGAACCCTGTGATAGAGAAGCTTTGGAGGTGATCGAAACACGGAGTGGGGAAAGGGTTGAACACCTTCCTGAAAATGTTTCTCTTCAAAAAACCCAAAACAATAGCAGGAAAAAACGCACATACCCTGTTTCCCTGAAAATAAGACCTACCCCAAAATAAGCCCTAGCAGGATTTCTATGCATTTGTGGTATAAGCCCTAGTGTGTCTTCTTGAGAAAAAATAAATATAAGACAGTGTCTTATTTTCGGGAAAACACGGTAGTATCAGGGCTCTGGGGAGCTGCGGTGGCTCAAGTGGTTAAGACGCTGAACTGCAGGCTGTGGAAGGTCGGTAGTTCAGCAGTTTGAGACCCGAGTGTGCCGCATGACGGCAACAGCGTTCCGTGCACCTTGGTGTTTAGTCATGTCGGCCACATGACCACGGAAACGTCTTCGGACAGCACTGACTCTTCGGCTTTAAAACGGAGATGAGCACCACAACCCTAGAGTCGGATTCGACTGGCTTTTGAGCAAGGGAACCTTTACCTTTACCTATCAGGGCTCTGAAGCTTGAAGCACCTTTCCTCCCCCTCCCAATTCAGTAAGCTGAGCTGCCTTCTTCACTGACTGGAACCATTTTGAGGCAGTGTGTGTGAAAAAGCCTCCTCAATGCTTACATGGAGGGAAAAAGCCATCTCGTCTGGTGCTTGCAATTGACATCCTGCCTCAATCATTCAGAGGCTGTTTTGTGGGTCATTGAAAGATGGATGCTGCACTGTCATTGCTAGGCAACCAGAGGACATATCTTTGGGAAGCCAAGTCCTATAGATTAAGTCCTGAGGTAAAACAAGCAGAGATGCCACACAGTCAGACTCCATCGATGGGTGCAGGCCCGGCTCTGTTCTGAATTCCTTTTGGACAGCTTACCTGTTCGGCACAAAGCCAAAGAAGTTTTCTGGGACAAGCAATCTAGATCAGTGAAGCCTGGCGTTCTTTTCAGTTCCCCAATGTCAGATAAGACACAGATTTCATCTGAAGGAGGAAATTTTCAATTTGCCATCAAATGAGCTCATTAAAGTTAGGGCGAAACCTGCTTCAGAAAGTCTTTTAATTCCCCCTCTGCTGATAACCTTCTAGTTTACCTTGCCAGGGGAAGAGGCAAAAGTTGGTTCCCTCGGCAGGCTGGTTCAGAGATTACGATGCATCTCTTTTCCAGAACTTTAAATAGAACATCAGGAACTCAGTTCCGGCCATTGGCTGTAATGGGTGTTTGGTCTGAGGCTCTGCCCCAGCTACAGCCGTGATTGCCAAGCTTTTTTGTTTCAGCTGCCAATTTTTTTTGGATGAAATAGCAGGAAGGAAGAATAGTTGACAGTTGGCAACCACTGGTTCTCCCCCACCTGTCTCCTTCTAGAGCCCGTGCCGAGAAGTTCTGTTTTATTCAACAGAGCTTACTCCCAGGAAAGATTTCTTAGGATTGCAGAACCTATATACTGCTGTTAAATGGGTCTTTCCTAATTTTGGATGTTGCTGGAGGGAGGAAGAGAAAGAAGAGTAGCAGATATTTATTTATTCATTATTTATTTATTTTTCGCATTTATACCCCGCCCTCCCCGATGGGCTCAGGGTGGCTCACAGAGACAAGGAAAAAACCGAGCCATAATTAAAACATATGATGCATAGTAAAAACATCCAAACATTAAAACAGTGGTGCTCAATCAATTATTAAACATAAGTCCAAGATGGCTCAGCTCAGTTCTTCTCCAGAATCTTCTGACCGTTCCCAAGTTCTTCCTCAGGGCCTCGCAAACGTCCTCTAGGTGCAATGGCGGTGGTGGTATAGTGGGGCGGCGGCTCCTACTCAAAAGCCTGGTGGAAGAGCTTTTTTTCCTTCACCCAAATCCATCACAGGATGACAAAATAACCAAGCAGGAGGTTTTGGACAATTGGAACATGTTTGTGGGCAGCCAGGCCACCAATTATGGCGAAGATTTGACAAAGGAACATGATGAGTTGTGATCGGAGTGGATTGGGGGAGGTTGTCATAAGGACACCCTCCCTTAATTGAGGGGGAGAGGACACTCCAAAAGGGAATTGATCGTCTTATTTATTGGTGGAAGGGCCTGTTATCCGAAAAGCTACGGTAACTGACATACCTGGGCAGTTGAAGGGAAACTGGCTGGTAGAATTCTCTCTCGACAGTCGCCTTTCTGATCCATCCCGTTTGACCATACACTCCCGTCTCCCCAAAGCACTGTGAAGCTTTCTGCACTATCAAGTTCTCTGCACTCCAGGAGAGTTGGAGGAAAGGAGACTGTTTCCAATGCATCCTGTTTGCTTTTAAGGTTGCTTCCACACCATGGTTTTACACCAGTTTGGCATCCAAACTGGAGCTTGCTTGGGTTTTTTTGGTTTTCTGGAAAGACTAACCTTTGTACACCATGTGGATCGGAAAGTGCACATTCTTGATGGTCCAAACGACATCACTGGCACTTCAGCCATCCACATGTCTAGAGGGCCTTTTTTTTTAAAAAAAATCAGCCATTGGTACATCATTATAGCATTATAGAATAACAGTCTGTTGTCACAATCTGTTGCTTGTAGCCTTTTTCACTGCTGAGATATAAGGGGGAAAGTGCATCTCTCTGCAATGAGTAGGTCTAGAGCCTGTTTTAAAAAGCAAACCGGGCATGCAGAGGAATTTGTGGCAATAGGTCATTATACTACAATAATGTTATACTGATCTACCAATGGCAATTTTTAAAAATCCCTTTAGTGGTATTGGGGGAAATGACAACTATGGAGACCTGAGGTAGAAGCAGCCCAAGCGAGCCCTAAATTGATTCTTTAAGGGGAAGTGCCCATCTTTTCCAACCCATTTTCTTCCTCTCTGGTGTTAGGATGCATGTTTCCTCTCCATTAACTACCCTAAAAAACTCTATAGGGAAAGGGGAAGCAGAACAGAGGCATCCGGGAGGCCCAAACTAAATGAATCCACCCACTGGATTCATTACCACCCTCCCCCCAAGCCGCTTTTCAAGGCCAGACAGATTTTATGGCAGGCATCTGCAAGCGACATGCTGTAATCCTGTCACTCACACAGCTGTTGCTCCCATGGGCTGCTGCTTCTTCTTCTTCTTCTGTTCCCCTTCCTCTCCAGGATGGCAGACTGTCACGGGAGGAGTTCATTGAAAGCTACCAGCGTTCCCTTGATGATGCCAAAAGTTACAATGAAATGATGAAGCAGTTGCGCCCTCACCAAGAGCTGTGACCTCACACCTGTAACACTCTGCATTAGTAATAAAACTATTCTTCTCCCCCCCCCCCCCCCCTCGTGT